CGGGCGAGGCCAGCCACCTAAAACAAAAACCCCTCCAAAAAAAAAAAAAAAAAAGAGAGAAAGGAAAGTGCCCATCTTGCCCCACCAGGGGATTTGGGGTGTCCTGCAGTTTGGAAGTGAAATCGCCCTTTGTTTCTAAAACTGACCAGCCCGGATGGGGTCTGTGTGTTCATCCTGAGGAAGTGGGGGCCGTCTCCCAGTTCCTCCTCCCCCAGTCTGGGGTTTGCCCACGTGGGTTCTCCTTGTCGCCCCTTAGCTGCCCCTCCCTGAAGCATGACACCTCCCACACTCCCAGGTGTCCTCCTTCCTCCTCCCGAGCCTGAAATAGACCCACACCCGGGTTAGCCTTTTCTGGGCAAGGCTTTGCTCGCAGAAGCCTCGTACCTCGCCCCTGACGACTCGGGGGTTCTCTCTGCTCACTCTGAATTCCGGCATCTTGGCCAGGGGTCTGGGAACAGGGGTTGGGAGGATGAGGAAGGACGAGAGCCCCCCAGTTCGGCAGGAGAAGCGAGGAGTAAGTGAGATAATGAGGAGAAGACACGGCAGCCCAGGGGTGCGGTTTCGCTGGGAACAGACCTTCCCCGTCCCGTGCCCTCCCTGTCTGGTCTTCGAACATCGAACATTGCTGAGGTTTCAGCAGTTGGGGGCAGCTTGGGTGACTGATTTGGGGACGAGACTATGTCTGAGTCTAGAGGAGTGTTGTCTGTGACCCTGAAAACGGGAGGGGATGGACAGCTGTAGTCTTCTAAAGGTGCAGAGGCGTGTGAGCGGAAGGCCCCCCTGCCCAGGTCAGCAGATGAAGACTGGGACCCCCGCCCACCTTCCACAACGAGGGACAGAGAGAACGCAGAGACCAGAACAAAGGCCCCAGCACAGGCAGCAGCAAGGGACACCAGTCCCCCTCCGAGGGACAGGGCAAGGCCCGAGCCCAAGCAAACCCCTGCCCGTTTCCTCCATGAAAGAGAAGAGGAAGAAGAGGAAGAATGCCTACCAGTGGCTCAGCCATGCTACGGGGCAGGGCCAAGGAGCTGAGCCCCGGCCTGGGTCCCCCCTGCCTCGAGGGAATTTGAGAGTCGAAGGCTGGGGCCTTCCCTGGGGACCCAGACACCAGCTTCAGCCCAGGTCCTCACCCGAGGCCTATTTCCCAAAGCTGGGGCCGGAACGCGCTTAGGAGAGAGCCGCGGTGGGCAGGATGCTGCTTCCTGGGGGCCGAATCTGAAGCCAACGTCCCGTCCCGTCCCTTTTCTGGGCTGGGCTGGGGCCGAGGACCCGACGGGATCCAGCACCTGGCTGGCAGCTGCGAGTGGTCCTGAAGGTGATTCCCCAGACGCGGCTCCTCTCTTAAGCGCCTGCCCCACGTGACAGGGTGACTGTCCCAGAGCGGCCCATGCACAGCCGAGATCTGTGCGGTCCAGAACAGAAAGCCCAGAGTTGGGGTGGGGGAGAGAGGCCCGTCCCACCAAGCCCGAGAGCTCGCCGTCGGAGACGTACCATTGACCAGGCTGGCATTTGCACTATCTGCGGCATTTGAAGCCGCCGCACCGTCTGCCGCTAGAGG